TATATTATCGGAATCTCTTAGGCTTATGGAAAATATCTTTCTGGCTTAAAATACAGAGTTAGAGCCGTTTCGCAACATTACTTATCACCGATATTCCCCCCCCCCTTACCCCATATCTTATATATGTTAAAATTTGTCGCCCTTTCTTCTTCTTTTTTTTTTCGTTTTAATAATAATTAATGCTTTTAAGAAACGAAATAAATTTATAAACATTAGGTCGCTTTAAATAAAGGCTTTTTCTTGCCAATTTTATTGGTTAGTTTTAAATAATTCAACAAAAAAAATTTTTTTTTTCATAATTCAAAAATTTAGTTAGTTTTTTTTTATAATACATTTGGATTCTCAAAATCTTTATATAAAAAAAAAAATTAATATTTTTTCTGGTCTTTATGGTTGACGACCAAATTCTGCCTTTCGTAATCGGAAATGTAGGAAGCTATGGTGACGGAAAGCGGGACGCAATTCAGCATGGAGGCGTTGAGGGCTTTCTTGATCTTTGCTCTCTTGTTCTGGAACCAAATTTTGATCTGAGATTCGTTCAATCCCAAATCCCTAGCCAAATTTTGCCTCCTCTGTTCCGTCAAATACCGGTTATCCAGGAATTCTCTTTTAAGCCTGGCCAATTGCTCGTTGGTGAAAGCTGTACGGGGTCTTTTATCTTCGACGTTTTTCTTATCCTCCATCTCACTAGGATATTCTGGGTGGATTATATAAATTTCCAATATTAATAATTGTTTTGTATATAACTTATTAATTTTTTATCCTAAAAAAAATGAGGCAGAGAATAGGTAACATTTCGATTTGGACAGATAAAACTTTCTTAAATAAGTAGCATCCTATCTTTCTTTCTTTTTTTTCCGTGTTCTTTTAAATTTACAGCTATTAATAACTTTCAAATTTAAAGCCATCTTATATATGACGTGTCGCGGTAAAGGAAAATTATTAAGATTATGGTAAATATGGTATTAAATCTTTCATTTTAGCTTTATATTTGACCAATAATGAGTCTCGCTTAAATCAGCTGACCATAACATAGTTCATGATACGAGGCCAAAAACTATTCGTAAAAAAAAAATTAATTATGAATTCCGCTGCGATTTATAGAAATTTTTTTTTTACCCGTAATGAGGTTCGGAATTTTATTAACCGGCGTTAGCGGTTGCGAGTGTTTAGTGATGTGACCGTGGATGCTAGAAAATTTTGACGAGGCATGAATTTTAGATTTCCTGATACGCGGACCTGCAAATAGAAAATATACGATCGTTTTAAACCAATTCCTGATTAAAATGTCACTAACATTTATTAAGATCAATCGCATGGCCTCTTCCCCCTTTTATATATGACAGCTAAGAATTTAAAAAAACGGAGTTATAATACAGGGCCCCTTAACACGGTTATGTCTTTAAGTGGTCAATAACCCATTTTCCATTTTGGTCATTAGAAGGACCTCTGTTTTATTGGCTCGGAAAAGGGGAGGGGTTAGAAGAGATCTGGGGGTTTTTTTAAAAAAATATTATATATTAATTAACTTTTTAATTAAAAGTAGTGTTGTTAATCGACTAAATTTGTCGACTAACAAACGACTAACTAATACTTTAAGTCGAAAATTTGACTAAAAACTTTAGCAACTAAATTAGTCTATTAGTCAACTAATTTAGTCGACTAAATCGACTAATGTAGTCGACTAAAACGACTAATTTAGTCGACTAAAAGAACTCATTAAGTCGACTAAATTAAAGGAACAAGAAAGAAGCAGATTTTAAAACGACAATAACTAAGAGCAAAAAAATATGTATATATGTTAGTGGCAATGTGTTTTTTTTTTTGCGGGAATGTTTAATTTTTTTAAAATTTAAATCATTTTTTTTTGAGCGCGTTTTTTTTTAAACAAAAATTTTAAATATTTGATTTTTCTGGAAATGTATTTCAACATGAATTTCGGACAATTTTGCCACGAACCTTTGAACTTAAAATTAGCCATATTAGTTTTTCCGTAGATCTTTTCGTATAAATTATAAATAAACTCAAAAGGTTAACGATATAATTATCTACAATTAGATCGGCACCATTCTAAACATTTCCAGTAAATTGCGCGAAAAAATGTGATTTAAAGTTGAAAAATAAAACACATTCGACGCTAAAATAATACATTAAATTTAGGTTAAATAAAAATATTAAAATTATCTTCAAAAATTAGGTTGCGAAAAATGATAAGAATTGGAGTTTGAAGAAAAAAAAGTAGAAATACAAATTTGGATTAAGATTTAAGAAGAATACACATACCGAAAACTGATTATAGTTTTTAAAAAAATAACCATTTAATTAGGTTTGAAAAGTAAATTAATTGTGCTAAAGATAGGGGAATTATGCCAAGGAAACGGATAACAAATGCGAAGCCGAAGAAAAAGTTAAAAAGGTTGACGAGTGCTATAGATAAATTTCATGCAGATATACAACTAGTACAGTATATAACATTAACCACGTTCAACAGTAGCTCTCACGATTTAGTTCTGAAAATCTAGGAAAAAGTAATCGGGTGCTAATAATGGCACCTATAATTTCTATTTTAAAAATCTTGGATTCGTAGAAAAGAAAGGAAATGGGAAAAACATAAAAATTTTAATATTTCTTTTTTTCCGATTGTTTTTAAACTTTGAAGTTACAAGTCCGAGATGTCTACAATTTCATCAAGAAAGGGTAAAGTAAATCCGATGGCTGTCCACTAATAAATCAATATATATATATATAGCCGGCTATTTAATAATCTTCAACCAAAAATGGCGAAGATATTAATATCACGCGATGAGTGGAAAGGGATAAATAAATTTTAGTCCTAGTGATGGCGCTCCTCGAGATTTTTAATTGTATTTTAAATGTTTTTTTTCCTTCTTCTTTCTTTCTTTCTTATATTCTTTTTTTTTTCCAATTAATATATTTATTATTCTAAATATAAATTTCTATATTTTTATCTTTTTTTTGTTTAATATCTCTTATAATAACATATTTATTTTATAATTTCATAGATATTAACCTTTAATCTTTCCATCCACCATAACAGGAAAAATATTTGAAATATTGATTAGCGAGTAAAAGATATAAATAAGCCTTATTTTCGATATCATTTGTTAGTTAGATTTAAGCTCAGACTAGAGGAAAAAAATAAATAAATTATTATTTAACACTTCCTACTAACTGGACACTTCCAAGGCCTAGACAAATTAGCGCCCTGATTGAATTAAATTCGAACTAAGAAAAAAAGGAAGGAAGGAAGGAAGGAAGGAAGGAAGGAAGGAAGGAAGGAAGGAAGGAAGGAAGAATCTGAATATACTTAATAACTTTTTGTTATTATACTTCTAGCACAAAAAAAAAGTTATAGCTTCTAATTCAGATTATGCTATATTATTTTGTAAAAAATGTATATAATATATTATCAAGGGATGAATCTAAGGAAATAATTCCCCGAAATAAAAAAATCCCCGTTTATTAAGATGTTAAATATTAAAAATTACAAAATTAGTAAAATAGGAAGAAGAAAAAAAATTCCCTATAAATTATATCCACGAAAATATTAAATCCACAAATAAAATGTTTAAAAAAAATTTTAAGAAAATCAATTCCTGGGGGAATTAATTTCTAAGAATTATCAATTGGGGATATTTTTTTCTTTCCGGGATTGTTTTAGCCTGATAATCTATAAAGGATAAAGTAAGATTCCAAGGCATGACCACAATAAAAATCATTTCGCAGCTGACTATATACATTTAAGATTGTACCCCCTTTTTTTTGTAATTTTACGGGAAAGCAATTATTTTTAAAAAATTATATGCCGTAACATATTATTAAACACTATGAAATTGGCCAGAGTTCCCACACGCTTGGCGCAGATGAGTGTCCCATCCCAAATAATGTAGTAGACTTTAAGGAAACCATTGAACCGCGAAGCGAAGACGTGTTCAACAGTACGGAAAATATCCATCCACTTTTGGATTCCCAGTTCGGTGTGCCATCTTGTAAAAATTAAGTTTCTATTTTATTTCAATATGAAAGTATACCTTATCAAAACCTTGAAAGAAATAAGGAGGAGAAAATATATGTCGAATTTTATTATGCAAATAAAGAATAATTAATTTATCTTAAAAAGATATTTTTTTTGATATGGATCTGGAAATAACCCAATTCTCGGGCGAAGATGTAAAACTGTTTTACTTTTATCATTCTTCAATTAATCAAGAGGTGCATAAACACTAATTTTCTTAGTTATGCTATCATTCTTTTTTTTTGGATAATACCTGCCCCGGTTTTTATTTTTATATATATATTTAAATCCAGAACCTAGCATAACGATTTGACAAAAATTGGATAAATTGATTTGTTATTAAACCCCAGAGAAAATTTAAATATTTATATTTTTTTATCTTTAAATCCTGGCTTTGTTTTTTAAAATTCGTGTAATCTGCACAACTCTAGGACAGTGTCGTAAAACCGGCTCGGTTTGAACCGGTTTTTAAAAACGGCTAACTCAATATTTTAGCTAGAAAAATATGGTCTAAGCCTCGAGATTTCGTTAACAGATGTTCGAACCTTCGTGTGCCGCCTTTGAGCAAAATCTTAAGGCTTGCGTAATATTTTTCTGGACGAAATATTTTAGTACCAACACTAGTGTTGGTCAGTATCGAGAATATTTGTGTCTTGTGCTCAGTATCAATTTCAAACCTTTTTTTTTTGAAAATAAGAATATTTAGATTTCCTTTTTTTTTTAAAGGACCTTAGTCCTTACCGCTTAGAAAACACATTTTTATTATCAATTATATTTATACTTTTATAAAAATGACACTTTTTTTTGGATTAAATATTTATTTTATATATAAAAAGAAGCTTTTTTAAAAAATATACAGTTAAACTTATCTATAAGAGTGTGCAAGGAAGGTGTAATAAGTTAGAAGCTATACACCGAACTGACGGTTATTGATTTAGTTATATATATATATATATATCAAAACCTGCCGAGGGCCGGTCAGAATAGCGGGTGCAGTAAATCCATGCTGGCCAATGGCGCGGAAAGGGATACTTTAGCCAATTTTCGGTTATGATTTCCATATCGGAGCCTTTGAAATAGCTCTCGTCTTTCAACTCTAATCTTTCACTCTTACAGAGCTGTGACTTGAAATAAAGGTCGTTGTTATGATTGGTAGTATTATCCGAGGAATCGGCTCTGCTGCTGTTGCACGAAGAAGGGGAAGGTATGGATGAAGGGCTCATAAACCCTTTAGGAAGTGCAAAATTGGGTGGCGGATGATCAAATGAATATTGATTCCTAAAATCGTTTAAGAAGTTGGAACCGAACGGGAAACTCAAAAGTGAAGGGACATTTTCGGTGCTGTTGAACACGTCCTCGCTTTGAGGTTCAACGGTTTCCATAAAGTCTAATGCATTATTTGTGTTAGGACCCTCATCTGCGCCATCGTTGGAAAGTCTGGCCAATTTCATATTGTCTAATAATTTGTTCAGCATATACTTTTCTTTAGTGGGATTGTGACACGTCAATCCCTTTAGCTTTAATTTTGATTTAATGACACTGTCGGAGATGTTATTATTTTGATAAGCTGAATTATCTATTGGCAAATCGGCTTCGTTTCGCTCCACTAGGTGGTACTTGCTCTTAATGCCATCTGGTGGATGATTGTGTTCGCAAAACTCGTGACTCTTTGTTTCGCTAAGTGCCCCCTTGTATTTAATTGACCATTCGCTCTGTTGCAACAAGTAATTGTAATAGCACAAGTAATAGAAATGGTGAGGGTAGAGCAGACTTTGCGCTCCCCTATCTTGACCAGGGTTTACCATGCATTTTGCGGTTTTGTCTGGAACAAAATCTTTAGGGAGAATGCTATTCGACACCCCTACGTCATCATTGCTATTGCTATTGTCAATATTTTTTCTCATATTATCGTCATATTCATCCTCTCCCATAACAACTCTCGCGGTCGTGACAGGTGAAGAGACGATTGTAGAATCACTTGTCATTTTGTGGCAGGCTAAGCTATGGTTCCGACTAAAAGGATTCGACAAGAAAGGATAAGGATCATGGTTAGGATTATTACCAATAATTTTCCTGGTATTTAGAATGCTATCCACCGCGAATTTCAGCTGATTTTGGTTTGTCGTGGCTTTGGGTTCTAGGTTGTAAACACATGGGCCTGGGTCCGTGTTTTTAGCGAATCCTTTGTCATTATCATCGTGCGAATTAAGGTCGAAACCCCCAGAATTTTCGCAACTTACTTTGATTACGATTGTACGTTTTTGCTCTCTTAAATGTTGACTATTACTCTCGACAAACAGACTCATTATTCCCCCCCCCAAAAAAATATAAAATATTATATTTTATTTTTATTTTAAAAAATAATATTTTTTTATTTTTTTTTTATTTTTATATTTTTATAAATATTAAAAATTTATAAATTTCCTGCCCTTTTTTTTTTTTACTAAAAATAATTATTCCATGAAATAAATTCTCGAAAATCTTTTATAAAAAAATATGAATTTTCGTAATTGTGCTGCGTATTAACGGAAAAGATAATAAATAGAGTTATTACGTCGTAATCATTTTCTCATTTCTAAAAATACATGATTTTTAATCAATATAATTATTAATTTTAGATATCCTTTTTTTTAAAATGAATTATTAGAAATTATTTAGGAAGAATAATAGATCAATTTCTTATTTTACTAAAATTTTGTTAAATATTTAAATAATTTAAATCGATTTCAATCAATCAATCAATCAATCAATAATCAATAAATTATTTTTATCATTAGTTAAAAATAAAAATTACAAAATTTTAATTTTTTTGATCAATAAAAAGAAAAATTATGGACAGTTAATAAAAAAACAAAAATGATTGACATTTTCTTTTATATTTTTCAAAAAAACATTTTTAAATTTTTTTAATTATTTTTTCTGTTTTTTTAAATAAATTTATTAATTGTAGAAGAACTACGAAATTATGTACAAAAAATTTTACACAAATTTGAATTATTCGAAATAAAAATTTAACTAAGGAATATTTGTTGGTTTGAAAAGATCCTAACCATGCATTCACAGCTGACGCGGATTCGCGGTTGACGTGTACATAAATGTGGCGCGTATTTTACTTGTCCCTGCTGCCAATTCGCGGTAACCTGTAAAAATTTAGGGTTATTTTTGTTTTTGATCAAAATAAAAATTTTCTTAGGAATATTTGTTGGTTTGAAAAGGTCCTAACCATGCATTCACAGCTGATGCGGCGGTTGAAGTGTACATAAATGTGGCGCATATTTTGCGTGTCGCTGCACTACTGCCAATTCGTGATAACCTGTGAAAATGTAGGGTTATTTTTGGTTTTGAATGTTTATGGGTCGCGACAAAAAAATGATGGTCTATGAAATTAATATAAAGGGTTGGGGTTAGTTAAGATTGTTTTTTTTTAATATGAAAGTTTTGATCGACAATTCGATCCTTCCCAATATGATAAGATTTTAAAATCTTACTATAATATTTAACCAGAAGCCTAGGCGTATTCAGATCATTTTTAAGAAAAAGAGAAGTAAAGAGGGATTGGTGGTGGCTTGTAAGTACATCTTACTGCCATAATTTTTATATGAGGTCTTATAAAAAAAAATAAAACACTTGAAGTACTACGAAAGTAAAATTGAAATAAAAAACACTATAAAAAATAAAAGTGAACTTAAAAACAAAAATGAAAAGAAGTAAAAATAGAAAATATAAAAAGAAATAAAAATAAAATACACAAAATTGAGAAATAAAAACGTTAACATACACAATAATATAAATGTAAAATAGAAAATATTTCGAATAATAATTCCTACTTAATAATTCTTTGGACTAAGTGATAAAAAAATTTTCACTTTTAATTTTATGTTTTTCTTCTACTTTCTTTCTAATAATTTAAATATAGTCGTTCATTTAAGTGAGAAGACAGAAAAGAGGAAAGGAAGTCTATATTAAAGTTGATGCCTTACCTCTCCCCCCCCCCCTTTTCTCCAGATAATTTTAAACCAATTTTTCAGTTTAAAAGTGGATAAATTCTGGTTTATTCTCCAATGAAAGTTTCAGAAAAGTGATTCAGAAGAAGGTTTGTTTTCAAGAGATATAGGATGAGCGAATTGTTGGAGTATTTTTATGAAAGGATGATTTACTGTTGGGGAGAGGGGGGAGCTGGAAATATATTTAAAAATTTCTTCCGAGCAGCTAAAAAGATATATTGTCAATGATTTTGGATTAACGATTCCTCTGGATGGAATGATGCTTGATGGGAGGCGAACCTAAGAGGGATTAGGCTAAATTTGAAGCACTTTGATCCAAGCTAAAAGGTATTGTAGATGATTTTGGAATAGCGATTCTCTAGATGGATGGATGTTCGACGAGGAAGGGGGCGTAAACCTAATAGGGGATTAGGTTGTTTTAGGACTAAATTTGAAAGTCTGGTAACTTGAATCGGATTGCAAAGAAAAAAAATTTCCATCTTGGATTTATTAAGAATAAGTCTAAGATTTTTTTGCACAATCAGCTTCGAGGAAATATTATATTTTGGAAAAGGACATGTTCAATGACATATAATGATACCTAGACTGATGGTGAATTTATAATAATGCATTTGTAAGCGTCGTTGAATGCAAATCAGCTGGACCCGCCATTTTGGTAACCCGTATAGTGATTATTCTCATGTTAAAAATACTACTAAATCGGTAAATTGCTTCCTTAATTATCTCGATGATCAGGCAATTCTTTAATAAAGTTTTGTGACAGGCATGGGAATAAAATGGCATCTCGTTTAAAAATTTTTAATAATGATATGGGTAACCAAAATGGCGTCCCCAGCTGTTTTTTATTTAATGAATGTTTCGTCAGTCTAGGTATTATTATATGTCATTGACCATGTTTTAGTGTCAAGATATAAGAATGGAATGTCATAAAATATCTTGAAAATAAAGGTCGACGGTCCAAAAATAGACCTGTCATAGAAACCCAAACTGTCTCATAATCATTCAGATAGATCGTTCGGTTTTGATCTACCCGGTCTCGAGTTTTTGATCCTAAATACCAAACTTACCCCGACCTATTTTTCTTTTACTGAAAGATTTATCGATGGGGAAAATTGAACCGAATAAATTTCCAGCTGATTTAGCTCTAGAGGGGAACTCCCATTTATCTAACAAGCCCACTCAGATACTGGTATTCCTATTTATGAATTCTGTAAAGTAAGATATATTATTTATTAGGGAAGTGAGAACAAAAAGTATCGGAAATGTATTCCAGAGAAGAATACTCCATGAATTTAAAAAAAAAAATTTGTCATGAACCTTGGATTAGAATCATTTCAGAAATATTTGCCACATAAATTATACTACCTAAATTTAAACAACTTTCGTTTAAAACATGCCATACAATATGAGAAAGAGAGATGTAAATATTACTTATGTAGGTTATACAAGTTGTTCATCCGACAAAATTTAACAGCTGATCGATTTTTAAATCGGTTTATGAGAATCAATTTTTTAAAATAATATTAATTTTATCTTTAATTTTATACATGATGATAACCTAAGGAATATTGGTTTTAATAAAGAAAAATTGATTCTCATAAACCGATTTAAAAATCGATCAGCTGTTAAATCGTATATGAACGGATCCACTATGAACTGACTAAAATATTGAGTTAGCCGTTTTTAACCCAATGATAATTATAAACAACCCATCATAATTTTTATTATTCCTTTTTTTTTTAAATTAAAAAAATTAATAGATATATATATATATTTTGTTTTAATTATAATTTATTTTATATATACATCAAACATCATAAATAGTAAATTAACCATTAAAAAAACATTTAGAATATTACATATTCACTTAGTTTAAAAAAAAAAATCCCACACGCACAACATATATTAATGTTAAAAACAAAAATTGTTTGGTTGGGAATTTTGATACAACAGACCAAACAGAGACCGATGTACAACTTATCGATCCCTCTCAGACAATCGGTTTTGATTAACTTCCTGTTATCAAAATTTGCGCTAAATAGACCTGAACACGGGTTAGGGTTCACCTCCCTGGTTAAAAATAGTCAGTTTGTGGGATGAGGCTACTCATGAAGCTAACATAATTAGCACTTGTGAATAGCTACGGCTAGTCTCTGTCTAAAGAAAAAAAGCCTTCCCTAGGTTCATCTGTAAGTTTACGAATGTGCGATCCAAATTCCTCGATAAAGAATAATGCACGACTCACAAGGGTTGTTAGGGTGGTGGGAATAATGGGAATGAATATGTATTCTTGTGATATTTCAGAATATTATGCTATTTTTTTTAGCATCTCCTTTTTCTCGAAAATGTTAAGTTTTTGATTGGAAGGAACCAAAGGATCAATGCGCGAGTAATCCCCGACCTAGGAATTTAGCTCGCTTCCAAGGAATTTGAGAAATCCCAACAGGACAAAAAAAAACAGGAAGGTTCAAGAATAGATGGAATTTGAGTTGATCTGAAAGCTCTAAAGATAATTGAATTACGTAAATTATGTGTCTAACAATTCGATCTTTACAATAAAAATAATGGAGGCTTCCATTACCCTCGTAGGGTAAATTATTAGGGTAGCTTAAACTAATACCAATGGCGTGAGTGTGCTTATTTTGGGTTTAGTTGTAATTGTAAATGAACTGAGGGAATAGTTTCAAGAAACTCATGACCAGATCGCAGTAAGGAGAATAATGGAGGGTCAGATAATTGTATTCTGGAAAGGAGTGATTCAACGCAGCTCGCAATAATAGGTCCAACTCAGTCCTTCTGCCTATTCTATTCTGAAAGTGGGCAATCAACAACAATTCGTGATTTATCTCTCGAAAATAGAGCACATGTTTTATTATGGGAATTTACAATGTATTATGTTAATAGGCAACTGGATATGATGGCTATTAAGGCAAGATTGGAAGGAGATCTGATACCTAGTCCACCCACCTTTCTTGGCGGGTAAAGTGGCTTGAGTCCACACTATTTTACCTTAATTTAAGGTTCGAAAATATTTTCGATTAGGACTTTATTCCCATTTTCATAAACACCTCAAGAGGAAAAAAAGGCTTTATGGGAGGGGAGAAGAGAAAATAAAATCAGCCAACTCGAAATGCCCATCAAGGGTGGAAAGAAGGACGGAAGATATTGTAGTATAATTCTTCAACGGGCACGTCTAAATGATTTAGTTGCTCTAGGGTTGTCAGTTCGGTTGTTTGGGTTCAGTTAATCGAATTTTTCTGGGTTGATATAGAGATTCCAATAGGAAGTCCCAGGATTCCTTGGCTTTATTGACTTCCTCATTGGATCCACTAAGAATACCGTCATCAATATATCCGGCGTAACGGGATAGAAGTCAATTTTGACTAAAGACTCATTGGTTAAGCACTGTTA